TAAACTGTGGCCATCGATGGCTGATGTGAGGWTCATACCTCATCCCAAACATTTTCCTATGACCTGCTGTTACATAGCAGGGCACTTTAGTGGGAGGATTTTCAGTACACAGCAAGTGTTTACAGCACTGGAGTGCTGTGATTCCGCTCACACCCTTGAGTTCACGTGGCCCAGATTCACTGTGGTGCTCAGGACACCTGACCAAACACACACCAYATATGTCTCCATACTCTACAGCCCTTTGCCAGCCATGTTTCAGGCATCTGCTGTAGAAATAAAGGAGGAGCTTTAATGATGTATTGTGCTTGGCCACCCTTGYCTGGTGCTTTTGGCTGGCAGGGACATGTTTCACCCTCGAGGCAATATCCAACATTTCCTTTTGCTCTTTAAAAAGATCCTCTGGGGAGAGAGATTTTGTTAGTGAGCAACATCTGACCTCATGCTAGAGCTGCTCYAATACAGGCAACATTAGTCCCAGTTTTTTGAAGCACAATAGTGCTTTGCTTCCTGTGGCTTAGCTTTTGCAATTGCCCATGACACAGGTGTATGGGAACATGTCCCACCTTTCTTCATTCTGGATTTCTCCCTCTGATTATAACTCCTAATGTTTCCCATGGGAAACAGCAGTCCTTTTCATCCACATCTGTAARAGTGAGACTGTTGGAACAAATAATCCTAAGGCAATATCACTCTGGCAGTGCGAGCTAGCACAAGGTGGAAATTAAATGGAAGGGAGTTGGGTGCTTTCAATCTCCAAATTCAGCAGCTGTTTAGAAACCTTTTCTTGGAAATGAAAGAACAGGATCATAAGCGCTGACTGTTTATTTCCACTGGCTAGCAATTATTTCACGCCTAATCTATTCACTTCAGTGGGAGATGCTTGTTTGGTACTTCCTTGAAGCGAGCCTGAAAGGTCAAACCCATCCAAGGCCTCCTTCCTTCTGCAGGGCACCCAAAAGCCATGCACTGGTCCCTGCAGGGCCATCAGACACTGAGTGAACAGTGTCTGTGTGAGCAAACACTATGAGTGCTCTGACAGACTGCATTGCCCAAAAAAAAAAAAATGCTGATGTTTGGGAACCTTTGAATTTGGATTTAGTCCCCCATAATTAATGTCCTTCTTATAAATTCATAAAACAGGCTGAGAAGGGGCAGGCAAGCATGTCTCTCCATCTCCCTCCATTATTTTCTCCCCCTCCCCTTTCTTTTCTTTGGGGTGTGGTTGACTGGTTTTATTGGGTTACCACTTYGTTGGTATACTTTCATTTTGCCTCACCTCATTTCATTTTTCACTCTGCTCTATCATTGCTGTTTTTTTCCCGTTCTCACCTACATGAAACATGAACCTTACAGATTTCTGAATGAGATTTCCAATCTAGGATGTCCCAGCAGGCTGGAAACAGGGAAAAATGTCTTAAGTTTGGGTAATCTTTCTCCCATAGTAACACTGCCTGTTGGTCATAGGCTGCTTGGTGCTCAAGCAAGCACATTTGACAAAAGAATCAGAACAGATACTGTGCTGGCATAAAACACCATATTGTTTTTTTTAAATCTGCAGAATTCTGAGCCAACACACAACTGAAGAAACCCCATCCCTCTGACACGACTGGGTCTGCAGGGAGAGGCAGTATCTTCAGTTAGCTGAATGAGTATGGTAGCAAAAGCAGCCAGCTTTAGGCAAGAGCTCCTCTTCAAGCCTACAACAGAAGCAGCTTCTTTCAAATCTGAATGCCAGTTGAGAGGAATTATTCAGAGTTTAGCCCTTCTGACAAACTGCATTATTTATTTACTTTAAAGTATAAGTYCTAACACTGAAAAAAATTATATTAAATAATTGCAGATTGCTTTATAGATAYAGCATTTGTTTCACTACAAACCTTTGGAACCTTCTACATACTATTTCTTTAATTCAAAGTCAACATTTTCTGACAATAACTTTTACATAATCTCTGTAGAAGAATGCTGGGAGAAAACATCTGGTTTTCAATCTCTCTATGAAGCAGCTGCTCAAGAATGAGTTATGCTCATGCACACAGGATTTATCACAAGATCTTTAATAARGTAAAAGCAATGTGGGCTGCCCAGCATAGTTCCCCATCTCCTTTGGAGAGATGCAGGCGTTTCTTGGGGTTAAATGTCTACAGACTTTGCAGAGGCCAGAATTTTAACGCTGTCATCACAGCTGGTAGTCACTTGGGCCACCAGTAAGGGTATGTCTGCTGTCACTCATTACTTTCAGCATTTTCCCCTCCTTTGCTCTCACCAGTGCAAACTGCTGCCAGCATCAAGAACATCCTTCTTTAYGCAAGTCAGTGATTGTGAGATATTGCAGCAATAAACAAAGGCTGCTACATCACACCAAGACTGTGGTAAAAAAACCCCAAACTCAACATCCAGATGAAAAATCGCCCCATCAAATTAACAGAAGCAGCTCTCATACAAMGGAGAAAGGAAACAGGTGAAGAAACCACATAAAAAATTAACTTCAAAATGGCTCAGCAATGGAAAGACAGGAAGGTTTTTTTTTCCACAATTTTAAAAGTCCTAGAGGAAAGTGGAGAAGACCTGCCTGCCCTGTGTGTGGGTACAGCAAGGTCCCTGACAGACCTGGAGAAGGAAGATGGTACAGTGGGGACAGGCTGAAGGGCATTGTCTGGCCACCCAGGGGGCTGTTACACACTCCAGACTGGGGCAGGAGGCATTAGCACAAACCCCTGCCAGACAGGCTGGAGCAGAGTGGCAGAAGCGATGGGAGTGCACACGCATTCTCCACGGAAAACTGAGTCACCGGTATGGCCTGAAGGACAATTTTAGTGCAGAGAGTGAAACCCCACCCTCTCCTTCAGCATGACATGGGCTGTGACGTAGAGCTGGCAACTCAGCTGCTGCTGTTTCAGGAACATCAAAGATGTTTATCGTCCCTGAGCAAGCATGGGAAAAGCCTTGGCAGGGAACAGGGTGAGCCCAGCAGGTTTTCCTTTCATTTCCTCTCCTTCCCTTTCGCTCACGAGCCCCTTTGCCYGGCGTCATGGAAGCCTGAGCTAAGTCAAATTTATGGTGACAGCCAGGAGCTGAAGGCATGAGCAAAGCCCGTGCATGGAGAGGCACAAAGGGTGAGCCCAGACGGGTAACACACACACATCATTTTTTTACACATCATAAGGCAGGGATTGGGAACTCTCCATGACATTGGTGCTACTGCATCAATGCCCCTGAGGGCCCYACGAGCTGAGGCAGTGATGTTGGCCCAGCATTGTCACAATCAGGAAGGCAAGAGCAGGTGAAAAGCAGAATTATTGCTCCCACCCGGCAGAGCGGGAAAGAAAGGAGCTTGAAGTAGATTCCTAWGGATGTAGTGGTGAGAAGATGAATTCTTCAGTCTTCAAAGGCAGCAGGCAGCATGCTTGTAAAGGCACATACACTCTTGTAGATAAAAAGGCATGTCATCAGTCACACACTTACGCCTGCAAAATGTGCATGGCTGGGCTGTTTGTCTCAGTTTGAAACAAAATATCATCCTGCAGCTGTGTGCATCCCTCCATTCAGGATGCAGTTTCAGGCTCTGTGCTGGAACAGCCATACCAAACCACATGGTTCTTTACCTTGGTGCATGTTAAACCAGTAGGCACTTAAAGTTGTGTTTGGAAATTTACCCTAACATCTTCAGAGCAGCACTTTGTCCTACATTTCTAACAGTTTTCTGGGACTATTGACTGGATCACAAATCTTTTTCTCCCACCTTACAAGGCAGCAAATGCTCAGGAGTGTTTAAAAAGCTTTCAAGCTTGCTCCATTTGTTCTTATTCCTAAGTGCAGATGTGATGATTAAATCTGCACTKTATGCGTCTGAATCCACACTGAACATGCAGCTTTCTGGAAAGGTACCTGACTGAGACCYCCAGATCTTTACAGTCAGGGACTTTTGTCTGTTTGTGTGGGTGCTCTTCTGAAATCTTTATTCCTCATGRTTAGGGAGCAAGCCAGTAGCTGATGATCTTGTGACATCTTGTGATTTGCCTTCAGCATCAGTTTGTGGCCAAGGATGCAGAAGATCCAGGATGTGATACAACAGCCATGCCAAGACCTCTCAACAACTGGTATTTCGGGACTGGTATTTTGGGAGGGCAGCAACTGCGTATGAGCCAACACTGGTMTCTCTGTTGGACACCCACATGTGGTTTCAGCACATGTTGCTCACATTTGGTTATGGCTGGCGCTGCTCTTGCATTTGAGATGGAACTGCTGGCAAAATAAAGACGTCAAGTCCACCTCAGTTCCATCACGTGTTTAGATGCTGAACTCCTGCTGAAATAAATGGAAGTGAGGGGTGGAAACACTGTTTGGAAGTGGACTTCACTGACACTAGGAAGTAAAGGGTGGTGGGAAAGGAGATGCAAGTTTGCAAGGAGTAAGTGTGAGCATAAAAATGAAATGAACTTCGAGGTGAGAAGTACAGTGATTTTGTTAGTGCCCCCAAAATAAGAATATTGTACTGTTTAGAGATTTCTWGACTAAAATTCACTTTGACAATGGATTATTGTGTTTCTTCCTATGTTCTTCATGAAAGTYRGCAYTCCCTGGTAAATGGCAGCACTTCCATGCTATGCAGCATGACTTGAGGCAGCAAAATCTGTCCCTAATACCAGAGTTAAGCAAACTGTTAAAATTAGGAACTAAACCAAATGCCCAGATCTCCTCCCCAAACTCAAACGAAACCTTTCTTTGAGGTTCAGGAATGTTTGGTTAACTTTAAATAAAACAATGTTGTGYTTCTACACATCCTGCTTTTGGTGAAGACTCCAAGCAGAAACACAAAAATATAGCAGGCACATCTGTGTTTRCACTATTTCTGGCCCAGCTGAAACCAGGAAACACTGGAAATCTCACAAAATCAGCTTTGCCTCACAGACTACCCAGCTACCAGGTTCTGCTGCTGTTGCCCCACAGAATACAATGTAACTCTTGCACATAACTATTTATTATTAATTTTTCAACAAATAACTGCGATAAACAAGTTTCCCAGACAATCAGACATATGAACCCCCCATTTTTACTCAACTGTGGCAGCATACCATACAGCTCCCTTATACTCCTGTTATGCCCCTTCTTACTGAGTCACTGGTGTAGTTGCATAAAGACAAAATGTCTCTTGTGGTGCATGACAAGAAACCAAAGCACATCATAACAAAAGATAACAAACCAGGCATACGCATGTTGTGCTTCATATTTGGTTTGTGGCTAATTTAAAATATGTTATCCTAAATTTTACTGCTTGGTATCTCTTTGACAACTCCCTTCCTTGGATTTGTAGAGCATAAATATGAGGACAACAGCATTGTTTTAGAGGAAAATATTTGACCGTATAAAATTGCCCTGCATTTCAGGGCAAAAATTTTTAAAGCACTTTTGTGTACCAGATTTTTGCAAATCTGCAAACTCATATTTAAAGGAACATTTAATGTTATTGCTAGAAACTATATCACTGTCAGCAAAACATAATACAGACACCCTGATTACCCAGCTATCTCCTCGACCGCAACAAAGCCATCCCAAATGGTACAGTACCACAGCTTCATGCTTGCTAGCCAGATTTATTATATTTTCCAGATTCTAACAAGACACATATTAAGAAATGCATGTTAATCATTGTCCTAATGAGAACAATATGCAGTTAGCATTTAKAGTGTCACACAAAAAATACAGAAGGCGAGTACAGAATAAATGCACTCTAAATTCAAGGAAACCCAATCCTTCTTTCCACCAGTGCACTTCAGTGAAATCGGCCTCTCCAAGAGAAATTTTTAATGAACTAGCTAAATTTTAACTGATATGTATATGYGCTTTCATTAGGCATGGGGCTAAGTAAAATGCCATTCTGACCACCACTGTGAAAGCAAAATAACCACTGTCCYACTTGCTTACGTACGAAAAGCTGTGAGTATATAAAGCACTAAAAGCCTGCCCAGCATCTCTCCTCTGGAGACACCACACTTCCCAGTGTTGTACTGTTTACAGMCAGATGACTTCTGGAGCAAACAATGACCCCACACATGAAAGAGGACAAGAATCTGTCTTTAAATTTATTTGCAAATAATAAAAAGCATACCTTACAGAACAAATCAGTTAATCTCATTTGGTAAAAGTGCAAAATCCATCACTGTTTCATACTTCTGAGAGTTTCAAAGGTGCATGAAGGTTTGGTTTGAATTTTCTAACGCAAGATATGTGAACTTCCGCGCTTTTTTGGGATGAAACACCAAATAAAACAGGCATCAATGGAGTGGGTGCAMAAGAAAGCAAGATTTTCATGTCTGCTTAGACTGCAGTGCCTCACTGTCACACCACACACAGGACATCTAAACCTGTGCCCTCCCACTCCTTCCTCCTGCACAGGTCACATGGCTCTGTCTTTCACTCCATCCAGACCACCAGGCACTATGGGAATGCTGATTCAGCTTTTACTGTGCACTCAGAACGGCTCTTTTCCTTAAAATCTCCCTGGAATTACAAAGGTGTAAAAGGTGTTTCCACACCCTGAGTGAAGACTTTCGAAAATAGTTACAAAACATTGAATCATTTTAGAGTGCAGTACCTTTTAATCCCTTTGCATAGGTTAAAACTAGTATTGCCTTGAAAAGTGAGTGCTGAAGTAAAATGTGACTGAAAAAGGTCTCATCACACCCTGGAAGCCTTCCCCAAAAGGGTAATAAATGCATAAAAACTTTGGCCTACTCTTTTTGAAGGTRTACCTCTCCCTCCTTCCCTTCCTTTCATACCATTCTCCCAAGAAACAGRAAAGTATTTTTTGCATGTCAGCTAGCATGAAAAAAGCTTCTCCAGTTTCTCTTCAGAAAAAACAAAAATTAGCTCAAAAATTTATTATCAGCTTCCTGAAGAGCAGAAAGGGAAAAAAAAAAACCCAACCAAAACACAGCACAAAGCAAAATAAAACCAAAAGAACAAATTTCCACAATTTTGACGTATATTGTTTAAAATGGTATTTTTCACTCAGGGATGAGGTTTTGTGCAGGTTATYTTTCCCTTCAAGTCTCCAGAAGTAAAAACAACAACAAAATATAGCTTTTTCTTCTAGACAGTACCACTTGCTGCCATCTGCTTATGCTTTGACTTCTTGAAAAAAAAATTAAATCTTTGCAAAAGGAGAATCAACCTTAAATAAATAGTATCTAGAAATATTATCTTAAGAGCAACTATATAACACTGCAAGTGCATCACTGAACAGATTAACATGATTGAAGGAGACCTTTTGTGTTACATATTTTATTCAGTTATATGCTTATCTTCTCTTTCAAATGAAAACTTACAAATTGCAAAAAGAACAACGATTAGCTTAAAAAATCAGCTTAGATGTCAACAACTGACTACAAATAACCATTCTTTTGGCTAACAAGTGTTTGCCCAGGGCAGCCARTGTCCATAATCAGCATTCATCTTTCATCCTTGTCAGCTGGGCTGTCTGGCAGGTGCTGGGTGGGGTGAACACCGAGGGGTCTGCGATGCCAAGGTGGATATCAAAGAAGCGAGTGGAGGTTGTCACGCTGTAGTTCTTGGTGTAGGTTTCCTGCACGGGGTAACAGTCTTTGACGGTGTAAACACCGACCCAGGATTCCGCTGCAACCAAGCACAAATGTGACGGGAAAAGATGAATGTGTCACAATAATGTCAATGTTTTTTTAATTCATTCCTTCTGTTTAACATTGTATATTCAGCTCCTCATTATTGAGGTTTTTTTCAAGTTCATATTCTTTTCAAACACTTCTAGCAATTCATTATCTCAACCACGCTCAGTGCTGATCTCCTCCAGGTATGTGATGTAGCAAGTCTATCCCTTTTTTAACTTCAGTTTAATTCCACAATGTGCTAATCTCAGAGGTGYTCCTTTGCTCTCTTTCCCCCTTGCTCTCTGCCATCACCTCTACCTTCTCTTCTGCTATTTAGGCAGTGTCAGTAACACCACTGAAATGGTTTCCTTTGGATACCCTTTGCTTTTATCTCTCTTTCATTAACCTCACAGACACTTTCTGTGATCGGTCTTTACCCCTTCAATTGTGCTCCATCCTGTWGTTTTAGGCATTTCAGATCTCTTGATAGCAGAAACTCATGATGCTAAAATTACCTACTGTGATCATAAATCAGTTCCCCTGAGGGATGCCTGTAATGAATTTTTCTAGTCCCAAGGATGCTTATTTTCTCCCACCCAGCAGCAATCACACACACCTATTTTCTTTCCTTCCAATACTGTGTCATATGCTGTACCATTACCACAAATAAATAAGCAGTGACATGAAACACRCATGCTGTATCTAAAGAAAGAGTAAAATTTAAGCAATATTTAAACATACCAAATTAGAGCATGCTAATATACCAAAAACATTCTGACCTCAATTAATATGGCCTTGAGTATAAAAGAAATKGAGGCACCTTTTACTTCTCAAGTCTTCTCTCAGAATTTTGAATAAAAAATCATGGTTAAATATGATGCTAGCAAAGTAGCTTGTATCTCCCCTCAAACTTTTTTAATTTTAAAAGAAATGTAACTTCTAGAATCCAAACTAGTATTAGGTGAAAGGTACATAGGTAGATACATTAGGTTTAAGAATGATCATACAGAAAAGCATTGGAGATACAAAATAATACAGAAAAAAAAAAGCCAACACACCATTAATTAAATGTATCTGGATATAAAGTTCCCCAAAATTCCAAAAATATCAGATCTGAAAAAATAAATAGTTCTTGGAGGGAGTGATAATTTGCCTCTCATGGAATACCAGAAGATATATCAACCTAGTTACAGARCTCTAATGGTCTTATCCTTTATTCTCTACTTCATTTGTTCTACTTTTATTCAAGAGATAAATATTTTCCTCTAGCTAAATGCTCAAGTTCATAACCAGCCTATATATTAGATGTCTATAACCATAAGTATTGCATTAGCCAAATAGTCCCCTAAATTTCACAGAGGTTTTAAAATTATTTTTACAGTTGTCTGGGTCATCAATAAACCACAGATGAAATTGAATCCAAAGTGCAAATAAATTGCTATGTATTCAAAATCTAACATACTGTACCTTGGAAAATTCAGCCTCCTTTCTTATATGAWGCAAGTATTCAGCCTCCAAATGCTGAACTAAGCCTTGTGAGCAGGTATTTCTTACCATTATAGAGGATAACAAAATTTAGGCACATATTAAGGATTTCAGTGGCTGCAGAACCACGTGGAGACAAACACTGACACCTGCTTTGTTTCTATTTTGCAGACTCTACTTTGTGTATGCCCCTAATTATAGCATCAGTTCTTCTCTAGATAAAGTTTGGATACAGGCTGCCAGATCCAGACACAAAATGAGGCTGCCAAACTCTGTATGATACGAAATAAAAGACAATCAAGTCCCTTGGACATATTTAATCCTGATGAGATATGAAACATTTTCTTAATAAAATTGCATTGTTAATAAAATGATAWTCTGCACACAGGACAGTTTTATTATTTCTTCCAGAGAACTTTATAAAACATGGAAAGTAGGGGTGAAACAAAAACAATGCTATTTTTCCCCGTGCAGCAGAGATATTGGTTATTATTAAGAAGAAACAAAAGCATGCACATACATTTCCTGGCTGGTTTTCTGTCAGACCATTCCTGTACCATAATTTCATCTCCAGGTCCCCCAATGTAGTACTGATCTTCGTAAGTTGAATTGGCAGGAATGTCATATGGATCCCATGGCTCTGTAAGAGCAATCTTCGAGCAAAGCTTTGTAACTTGTTCAATCTGAAACATCACTGCGTCTTTATAGAGCAATATATATTCAAAGAACCTGAAATGTTAAGAAAAAGCAATTCACATATACATATATATAGTCTTTTTCTATCCTAAGCAAGGAACATTGCTGATATGTAAGCTTGCCTTTGACTTCTCAGTATTAGAACATTTCCACTCACATTAAACTTTGCCAAACTTTGAGAAATGCTAACCAGTTGGGCTGAAATTTCCCAAGCTGAAAGTTTGTCTCAGCTGATTCTTTCCAAAATAAATAAATCAGGCTGAACTGGTTCAGCCATTTCTGAGAACAACAGAACAACTTTTCTGAGAACAACTGAGAGAAAAACATGTTATTATTCCTAGTTTTTTTTTTTTTTTTTTTAATAACTATTTCATTAAAAAGCTCTAAAGCCTCCATGTTTTGGAGAAAGGACTTAAAATTTTGGCAGGGGAGAAGTTTTTATTAAAAGTTGCCCAGATTTGGCTAAGTTATAAGCCTTGGAAAAATCTGCTTGCATAGGCCGGATAGATTCACTTCTCCATGAATGTGGTAGAGCCTTTCTCTCTACTGCTGATGGCAGATGCGGTATCTGCCATCCTCACAGATGTTTTTCCGTGGCAACACACATAGCTTAAGTGGGACGTGGTGGTGACAGGGAAGTACGTGGTCCCAAGTGCAGAACTCAGAGGGTCCTACTGCTAAAGGCACAGTTTCTCTCTGGAAGACACCAGATTCAAGAAGTAGTGAAAGGAGAAAGCAGAGGAGGAAAATAGTACACAGCGATGAGGTCTGGAGCTCAATGAGCTTGAGAGGCTAGAAGGTGAACTCAACAAAATGGATAATTAATAAGCATTTAAAACCAATCTTTTATTGAGTATGAAGTGACCAAGCCATGCTCTGAGGGGAAATGATAAACATTTATATGGACACTTCTGTCTATTTACTGTTTACAGTGGTCTGGGCTACCACCAACACAGTGACATTGCTTTCATACCTTTAAAAAGGAGGTGGTATGGTCCCTACACCTTTTCAATGGGCACAAAAGCAGAGAGAAACAGAAAATAAAAATTATCAGAATACTCAGCTGGAAAAAGCAGAAGCCTAACTTCTCCAGGTACTTTGCATTACCACCAATCAGATGGTAATTTGTTCAAAGCATGTCTTGAAGCATCCTCATGAGTGCTCTGCACCTTTTGCAAAGGACTGATAGGAATCACATTATAAACCCTCCAAAACGCTGCATTCATTATTAAAGGCTTCCCTTGAATATCTCAGCTCAAGTATTTGGCTACAGGCTACTGTTATGAAGTGACTCTAGGGAAAAGGAAGGGAACAGCTTCATCTTTCCATCTGTAATGCCTTGCTTCATTGATAATACTGCCTCCATTTCCTGCAAAAAAAATGGCTTGGATGTCTCTGTGTCTTCACAACCCTGATGCTAGTGCCTAACACTGTTCATCCTGCGCCATCAGAAAGATGGGAAGCTGGTCAAAAACATTGCATAATAGAGAAGGGACCCTTCTCTATTTCCCAACTCTTRTATGTTTCTCTTTGCAGTCCTCACATGGGGAGGATGCAAAGTTTGCATAAAATAGGGTTCAAAACACAGAAATTGACAGTTTTAATTTTTGCACTACACAATTGCAGCAGACAGCAATAACTTCACTCACCACTGACACGGTGGTATTTAAAGGCTGCATAATGAGAAATTTCTCAACACGGTTAAAAACATCTGAGCAACATTCCCATCACTTCTTGAGAGGATCATTTATCCAGCATGCAGGGAAACACAGGCAGGCTGAATGCCATTAACCAAATTGAACAGTGACAGAGAATAGAAAATGGGACAACAAAAGCTGGGGCTCGTCTCGCACACACAACCTTGCAAAACCTGGGAGGTAGCCTGTCCTGCTTTTTATGGGAATCAGTCACTGGGAGCTTCCCCCACATTAACAACACCCACACAAGCATAATAGCAAACTGTAAGACCATATATGACCTTTCCCAGGATAAACTGTTCTGCCAGTATCTTAAAATATTCCTGCTTCTGCCTTGACTTCCACCAACCTAAACTCACCTGCCATTTTCCTAGTCTAAGGCAATTTTCCTAAAGTCATGATGCACTACTGAAGAATTCAGTATCTTTTAAAACGATTTTTTTACATAAGCCCAACCTGAGACTACACACTGACATACATAACTTTTATATCACATTTGGTCCAGAGAACATACAAGAACACAAAAATACATTTATTTGTTTTCAATGAGAGTCTAATGTCCCAACTACTCTTCAGCTGGCTGCCCAGCAGATCCTATAAAAGTGGGATGGGAAATGCCTTACAGAGGAATCTATCACTATGTTTAAGACACCTGAGTGATAATATAGAAATTTTGTGAAAGAACTAAAAAACCGCAGTGTATTAGACAAGTATTACAAACCACTCAGAATATAAATTAAACTATTAGATTTCTTTTTCATTTTAAATCCTCATTCAAAGCTTAATTCACACAGAAATTTTTAACAATCTTGCAGACAACAAGATGGGCACTATGAAACAACAAAGTAAATAAAAATGAGGAAAACCCAAACAAATCAAACTCAGCACCAATGATCTCTCTAGCACCCATTCCATAGAGTAAGATGCTCCACCACCTGCATTTTTGGTTCTGGGAGAGGCACTGGACATGAGAGACACCAGTAGTACACCCTGATGTACTGCTGGGATGAACTCTGCCTTTGCGGTGGCAGGTACACAAGAAAAGAACTGCAGRGAGCGTGGTTCTGCTCACTGTGCAGGGCAGCCCTGGGTAAGCAGGGGCAAGATTTACACTGTCCTTGTTCAACTCAGATGTGCCTCACATTCAACTTTTATAGAGAATTGCTCTGTGTCCTGGAAATARCCAGCACAGAAACATAAGATTACCCAGGATCTGAGTATAATGGCATATGAAAGGGGAATGGTTAAGTTGTTGTTTTATAAAGAGAAGTATTTACCAGCCAAAATCAATAGCAGAATGTGCATGAATATAAAAAAGATCATTTAAAAACAAAATATTTTAAAATAATAAATATTTTCCTCTTTATGTTTTTAACCAGCCAARTCCTAAGTATACTGCCTCTATTTGTTTTAGGTGCCTGAGATTTCACTGGCTTGAGGACAAGCACAGAGTCCTGAAAATAGGTCTTGGCAAAGAACAGGAGAGGAAATTATTTTTAATTAACTTGTTTTTTTTCAGGAAAATGTAATGTATTTACAGCCTGCGCCCACCTCTATTATTATTTTTATTATAACTTAATTACTTAAACTGTAACCTCAAGAAAGCCCCAAGCAAAGTGCCCCAACTAGGCCCAAACTAGCCAACTTGAAACAGATTTAAAGAAGTTACTTGGACAATTATCCTATTTGCCTGACTAAGATTCCCTTCCTTTCAAATCCTATTCCACCCTACCCTGCCCTATGCCTCACCACTTCGTACACCATGGATATCTCTCATGATCCTTAATACTCCCTTTGTCTGCGCCTGAAAATGTATAAATTCCAGCATATAAGGACAAACATGTTTCTGCTCCTATGCTTTAAAGAATTTTCTTAACTCTGGACCATATCCTGCACAAATAATTCTAYAGATTTTGCTGGGAGCAATTATGTAAGATAGGTGGGATACATGCTGGGTTCAGTACTTCTCCCAAGCTAAGGAAAGTGTTTTTCTTTCTAAGAGACCAACTGAGTTAAATGCAAAGCCAGGATACCATGACCACACAATTACAAGGTGAAGCACTTGTGTTGAGGTCACACTGCAAGGGTGGGTGTGCATCCAAATACCGTCCTACCTCTGAGAATCCTCATGAAATCTGGGGAGGTAGTTAGAGWTACCTCTCAGAAGAAAGCCCAGATAACACAGAGACTCATTCCTGAACCCTCATAAAGGCCTGAACCAATGTCTTCTGAATGGGTTGTTTTGCATGTTAATAATGCAATTCAAAACAGTGAATTATTTTTCAACATTTTTCAGAAAAAAAGTATAATTAAGACCATGCTATCAGCTCCTTTTTCAGGTGCTCAGTCTGCATCCTATGCTGGGTCTTTCCCAGTCCTGAAGCATACCAGCCTGCCCATCAACTAACACATCTGCCTGACTCCCAGGGTTCACTTCTGCGCTTCCCAGGGTTTCCTTGTGAGAGCCAAACCGAGAAGAAAGGAGCTGCTTGCTGTCCCACTGCCTTTSTGGTGACTCAGAGGAACAGGGGTGCTGTCAGCAGCATGGCAAGATCCACATGATGTATTGAAGAACATCAGACAAGGTCACTTGCTGGAGAGAAGCAAAATAATGGTCTGAGATTGAGACTGGGCAATAGAAATTCCTTTTTTGCTATGTCTGGCTCTGCATCATTTTGCTCTGTGGCTTTGGACTAGCAAMTTACAGTACAAGAGCCTTAAAATGCTGTTTGTTATTTTTCTCTGATTGCTGTAGCAGTGGAGAGACACAAATCAGTGATCACGAACCAGACATTGTGAGGCGTTGTATTAACAAAGAAAAAACCCACAAATCCGGCCCCAAAAAAYACTGAAACAATGGTAAACCAGACTTTGCTGCAAAGGTGTGTTGGGGTTTCACGCACCTAGGGCTTTAACCTGTTGATCCAGTTTTCCCAGCTGTAGCTATTGTAACCTTAAAACTCTCACCCATGTTAGCCACGACTTGTATTACCTAGGAGTATAAAGCCATTGAAAAAAGGAAGCAAAATTTTATGTATTTTTTTTTGTATCTGAGACAATGTATTATTCAGCAGGAAACAGCATTTGCTATTTTGTATCTCAAGMCTAGGTCACTGCAATTTTTTCCAAGATAACTTTGCTTTCTCTTTTGTGATTAACTGAAAGCTTGAAGCATCTGTCTGCCTTTGTGGTACCACTTACTTCCTGGCCATTCTGTTTGTAAAAAGACATTTTAAACATTTTGAAAGAAGCTAGCAACACATCTAACTAGAAGAAATTTCACTATAAATATCCCAAAGAAATTCTYTGTTCTAGTGTGCATGGATAGGTACATCC